CTGGAAATGCTTTTGTCAGGAACAGGGGCGGCCCAACAAGAATGGATCTTCCCTCCCGGGGCCACCACTGACTGCCGAGACTGGGCCTGGGGCACTAGGAGCAAAGGTGTGGGAGGTGGGGCAGGGAGTAGAATCTTCAACGTCACTTAGGTAATGCAGGAAAGGCTAACTAGCAGTGATAATGACACCTCTTTCTCCAGCTCAGTCATTGCACGAAGCACTGGGTCGCATTTTAGTCTGTTATCCTATTTTAGAAGAGCCTGAGACTAAGTGAGGCCAATATTACTTGCCCAGAGTGATGGGATTGTAAACCGTGGAGCTGTGGCTAGAACCAACCCAGTCTCTCCCGTCCAGAGCCTCTTGCTCGCAGGCCTGTTGCTGGGACTCACCGGCTTCTCCTTTCCTGGGCTCGGCTCGCATGAGAAGACTTGATGAAGGCTTGACCGCCTGCATCAACATCACTGCACTGCCCCCCGGAAGAGAAAGGCTACACACAACTTTATGGTTCCCTCTAGGAACTTCCTGGAAAGATTCATCAGCTGTTCAGTAGAAAGCATCAAATGACGGCTTCTACCCCAAACTTGTTCCCGTCTTCACCTCCACATCCTCACCATGCTGTGCCCACAAATCTGGAAGGATTATATCATGATCCTTGTCCAGTCCCACGTACATTGAAAATCTCATCTCGAATTGCACATTTTGAGATTCAAAAGTATCAGTAAATATTCCAATGCTGTTCTCTCCTATTCTGAGACCCTACTCAGGCCCTGTCATGGGAACGTTCTTCTTTGCCCTGGTGAGCTGCAAACTCAGCTTTGTTATCAACAAGCAGGGCTGGCTTTTGGGCCCGTGACCTGTGTGGTACCTAGGTTCCTGCGCACAGAAGGGCTACCCGTCTGGCCTGGCCCAGAGTAAGAGCTCAATGTCAGCTGTTAGCTACTCACAATGTCCTGACCCCATTACATCGGGCAAACCTTTTTGCTCATGGACCGTGGATTCTGCACTGTCCTCCAGTAAGCGATTCTGAGTAATTGTTTTTGGACCCTTGTGCTTCATTCAGAAAGTGGTCCATCTTTCCCCGCTGTAGCTTTCCCCTTCTGTAGCTTCCCCCATGAGCAAGGCCTAAGCCTCAGGTGCGGGATGGGCTGACCCTCTGATAAAGTTTGACTCTGTGCCAGGGACCCAGCAGGTTCTGGGGGAACATATTCCATAGAGTGGTCCCTGGGACTTATGGTCTCCACGGAGACTGTGGCATCCCAGAGGTCCATTTAGAAGGCGTTGGGAGAAGGAGGTGACCCTGAGGGGTGTCGGCTGCAGAAGGGCAGAAGCAGAAGGCCAGGCAAGAGGGAATGGTGTGGAATAGCCTGGAACAGCATGCCTCTCTAGCTGAGGCGAGGAGGGTGGTGAGAACTTCGGGGAGGAGGACAGGCACCAGGTCAGGGAAGAGGTGGTGAAGGGTCACCGAGGGGAGGCCGATGGAAAGGAGATGTGTGTGGCAGATGGGTGGGAGGGGCTTCTTCCTTTTTCTCCTAGATAAGCACAAAGCATCGAGTTTAGAGATACAAAGATGAGTGCAGGAGAGAATAGCTAGAACACTCAAAGTGGTCACCTCAAAGCAGCAGGACCGGGCACTTCAGTTACTACTTAAGTTTGTGCATGCTGCAGCTGAATAACAAAATTAGTATAAGACAGAGGCCACTTCTAGGGCTAAATTATGTAGGTTTTTTTTTTTTTTTTTTTTGAGACAGGGTCTCACTCTGTCACCTGGGCTAGAGTGCCGTGGTGCGATCATAGCTCACTGCCACCTCAAACTCCTGGGCTCAAGTGATTCTCCTGTCTCAGCTTCCCGAGTAGCTGGGACTACAGGCATGAGCCACCACGCCTGGCTAATTTTTCTATTTTTAGTAGAGATGGGGTGTCTCACTCTTGCTCAGGCTGGTCTCGAACTCCTGACCTCAAGCAATCCTCCTGCCTCGGCCTCCCAGAGTGCTAGGATTACAGGCGTGAGCCACACCGGTGCCTGGCTAATTATATAGTTTTAAACTGCACAAAATCTAGACAGTGGAACAAAGAAAAAAAAGTTTGGCAGCTTTGGGGAGCAAAGTTCCCAAGATGGAGCAGTTAAAGAAAACTATGACGCGAAGGTGGGGCTGTATGGCCTGCGCAGGCCTGTGAGTCACAAAGGAAGCTGCCAGCCCCAGGGCATGACTCTGGAAGGCTGCTCTGTGCAGAGAAGAGCACTGCTGTCCCGGCAGTCCCTGACCACCAGGAACCCTGCAGATGCAGAGGTAGTGGGTCACCACGTGCCGTGATAAAACTATGCATGACGGGCATGGGGTTGGCAGCTCGGCCCTGGAGTGTCTCCCTTCTTGGAACGTGGACAGGGCCCAGGAATCTGTATTCTAATGCGCCCTCCCCATCCTTCACCTGCGATCTTCACCAGGCGCACTTGGGAGAAGCCATGCCAATGGGGTGGCGGTCTCCTTGGCTTCCTGTGTCAGCAGAGAAGGGCGGAGCCGTCTTCTTCACGTCTCAGCCGCGTGGAAGGCTCTGGAGCCACCACCGCAACAGAGGCCAGTGTGAGCCACCCACCCACACCTCTACCCTTCCCCGCGTCCGTGGGCAATCAGTTGACCAAACACGCAGGAGAAAAATAATTAACTTATTTAATTTAAAATAGCAAGACTTCAGTTTCCATCCATACAGTCAGGGTTTTCATTATAATTTTGCATGTGCAAAAACTCACACTGCTACTATGCCACAACAGGAAGTTTGTAAAGACAGTTTTTCTTGTCATGGACATAGGAAGAGTTCTGTGTGCACCCTCAGCTTGGGCCAAATAATAATCTTTATTAAAAACCAAAACTGAACAAACAAACCCAAAAAACCCTCAGAAACACAAAGAGGCAGAAAGTGGCTGGTAAACACGACGGAGAGACCAAGGTTCAGAAAGTGCATGAAAACCGAAGGACGCCAGGCGGAGAACACTGTTGCGACTGCAGCACCCGCTGCGGCTGAGGTTACGCTCAGGTCACCGAGGGATGCGGGCAGATAAACACTAACGACACCCACAGAGGAGAAAGGAGCCCACCAGGGCTGGGCGAAGTGTAGAAGGAGCCCGGGCGTGCGATGCGCGGATCAGTAGCGACAGCCTCTCTTGGACTTTCAGGATGCGCTTTCCTCGCCACCCACGCCTTAGGTCTGAGCTCTCCCCACCCGGCTGGACTGGCTCCCTGCTGGGTGTAAGAAAGAGGTGATGTTGTTTTCGGGGTTGGCCAGGCAGAGGCCCAGGCTAAGGCACCCAGACGAGCCCCTCCCCTGCCCACACTGTCACCACCATTCACGGCAACCATTCGTCTGCAGTGCCAGGGTGGGCGGCAGAGGAGGCTGACGTGGCAATACCCAAGGCGTGACTTCTTGGAGGTTTTTACCGAAGCAGACAGTGCAGCCAGTGGCATCGAACAATTGGAATGAGGGCGTGAGTGCGCCCCAGGCAGCAGAGCAGGTGTTTTCTGAGCCTCTGCCTCCCTCTACAGGCCCTTCCTGGCCACGGCCACTCTGAGGAAGGCCACGCCTCGCCTGGGACGGGGCTTTCTGCAGGCGGCAAGTGCTCCGGGCCCCGCTGAGCCGGGTTTATTCCTCTGGGCCTGGTGCTCTGAGTCACTGCGTCATCTTCCCTTTGCAGCAAGCACACTCCCCAATGACGGCTCCACTCTAGGAGCTAAAGCGAGTGAGGGTCTTTGCCCTCTGTGTGCCGAGACCTGCTGTACTGTCTTCAGGGTTTCTGTAAGGACTTTGAAGCCTGAGGAGATGTTCTCCTCTTGCTGATTTTCATGAAGAAATCAATTTTAAAATGAAACCAAAAATGGCAATTTTGGACCTAGTCTTCAACATGATCCTTCCTTTCCTGATACAGATGTTGTTTTCGAGAGTAAAACAGGAATCGACAGCACAGCATGACTTTGCTTTAATCCAGATCCACATTAGTAGGCTCAGAAAACCATTTCCCTCTTGAAGAGTTCTGACGGAATCCAAGGGAAGTCACTTTCCCAGGCCACGACCCCCAGGGAAGACTTACACTTGCCATTCTTAACCCATGGCTTCGGCAGCTTAATGGAGAAATTGCTTTTTGAAGACAGAGGGGAGTGTTGGTGGAAGATCATAGGATATATTAATAAATAGAGATGCAGTTGCTTATTTTAAATCCTTTTCCTTTTAAATGTACATAATCCACGTTGCTACTTCCCTCAACCGAATACCAAACAGCGGAATCTTGAACCGTCACCTTCAGGGAGCAATCGGTATTTGGATCATTCGCCAACTCTCTGGTCACCTTTCCCACAAAATACTGAACTAGGAAGCGAATAAGCCAGTTCCCCTCCCAGCTCACCCCGATTTTAGTCTCCCTAAGAACAGGATTACAAGGAAGGACCTGGAGAGAAGTGGGGTGTCCTCGAGGGGTCCCTGAGATGCCTCTTGTTCCAGCCCTTGCACTGGGAGGAGGGACCTGTATGTGAAGAGGCTGACAGGGGGGCAGGGGTCTGGATTCTGGCGGTGCTTGAAACTCACGCTCGATCTGCATCGAGGGTTGGTGACCCACAGACAGAATCCAGGATGCCCCAAGGAGACTGGCTGTCCCTGAGCAGTTGTGCTGGACATGCGTGGTGGCCACCACACAACCTCAAGGGAACCTTCAACCTGCTTAAAGGTGACTGGCTTCTCTGTTGACCTGCAAGCTATTCAAGAAAAGCTGGGCTCTCAAGGGAATCTGCTCCATGATGTCTGGGTGGGGGGCACATCGCTGTCATTTTACTTAATCATACGCAGATGGGTGCACAGATGTGGGTCCCTCAAATTGTAAACAGTGCTGTGAGGTCCTCAGGACACTGAGGGCAGCTGAACAAGAGGCACCTTGGTGGTGACCACGGACCACTGGTTTCCCTCTCATTGCCACTCTTGTGCAGAGGAACAACTCCCAGTGCGCCAGGGCACGGGTGCGACTGGAGGGTCCAGGAGGTAGAAGAAGCTGAGTTGGCAGCTGCTCCGCCACGGGGGTGAAGAGCTTCACTAGCAGGGGCTTCCAGGGCAGCAGACCCCGCTCCCACTCCCTGCGCGAGGGACTCACAGAAGCCACCTGTCCGCAGGAGGGCAGCACCTGTGCACGGTACTAGGAAGGGCTCAGGTGCTTGGAAGTCCCTCTGGGGTCCGTCTGGATTCCTGAGATTCTCCCATCTTGGAGGGTGCAGGAGCCTCGCAAGGGCCAGCCGGGCTGTCGGCGGGAGGCTGAGAAGAGCGGCAGCAGCAGCAGCAGAGGGAGAAGAGCCGGGTCCGGACGGCGCGGGTGCAGAGGACAAACATGATGCAGTTGGCACCGCCCTGAAACGTGTTCCCGATACCCTGTCAGGGAGGAAGAGGAGGCTGGAGTCGGTCTTAGGCACACAGGGGAGGAGGCTGGGAGGTACTGTGGAGCCCAGAACCTTTTTCGCCCACCCTCCCTCTGGGCTGGTCTGGGACAACCTTGGCCGTGTGGGCCTTCGGCAGGCTTCAGGCCAGCCTGAGCCGGCAGACCTGCTCCAGGCCTTCTGGGTTGGGCAGGACCCAGGATCAGTCAGCTCTCCCGGGGATACCCCCAGGCTGTTGGAGAGCAGCTCAGCACCTACCAGGCCACCCTGATCCCTCCGCTTTCTCTTTCCAAGGCCCCATCTGAGCAGGGAGGACGGCAGTGAGCCGAGCTCCCTCTGCTGGGGGAAGGGGTCTGGCCGTGCCTCCACCGAAGGCAGCCAGGGCCGGGAGGGCAGACCTACATGCAGAACGACCAGCACCGGTGCCCGCACCGCTGGGGAGCCGCAGAGGGTCAGCACGAAACGCACGGTGCTCCAGACTCGGAGGCAGATGAAGATGAGCGGGATGAGGACCAGCTTCTTATCGGCCGCCGAGGAGTGGTGCGGCAGGCGGTGCGCCTCCGAGAGGATGGGCCGGTACTCCAAGAGCGCCTCGTGCTGTGGGGACAGCCGGGGCAGCCTTGAGCGGATGGGCACCCACCTGCCACATCCACCCAGGCTGCCCGGGTCTTGCCAGGGACCAACATTAGCTCGGGAGGGTAGGGGGAGACGCCCAGCGCCTCCTCCATGCGTGTGCTGAAGAGCCCCAGGTGTGTATCCAGCCCAGATCCTTCTCCTGAACCCCGGCTCCCAAGCTCTCCGCCGACTCCCCATCCCCACGTGGACACCTCCAGGCCATCTTAGATGGCTCATGTGATCTTGAGCCCCGAGCACTTCCCTGTCTCAGCTAATGGACCCTCCATCCTTCCAGCTGCCAGGGCCAGAAACTTGGGAGTTGGCTTTGACTCCTCCGTGTTCCCACACCCCACATCCAATCCCCACTGGGCAAGTCCTGTGGGCCCTGCCTTCAAAACAGTCCAAACCCTGGACGCTTCTGCCCGGCCTGGTCCGGGCACCTGCTTCCCGATGGGGCTGGATCCACCGCCCTGTCCCCCATCCCGCTCCCCATGCCAGGCCACTCTCAGCACAGACGCGGCAGGAGAGCTGCAAACCCGATCAGCCCAAGTGAGGCCTCCGCTCAAAGCTCTTCAGCAGTTCCCATTTCACATGGTCCTTGCGACGTCCCAGCAGGGCTGACCCTGGTCCAGTCTGACCTCATGCCCACTGCTCTGCCCCATGTTCCCGCTATTCCAGCCACACGGGCCCCCGTTATTCCCCAAACGTGCAGGCACAGCCCACCCCAGGGCCTTTGCACTAGCTGTTCCCTCTCTCTCAAATATTCTTCCCTATTAGTCTACGTGGCTCATTTCCTCACCCTCTTCAAGTCCTTGCTCAAGTGTCACCTTCTGGATGAGGCCTGACAGCCCTATTTAAACTGCACGGGCGCTTTTGCATCTGGCAGCAGCCATCGGGTAAGCCAAGAAGTGTGCATACAGTACCCCCGGGAGCTATGGAGGAAGCAGCGGTCTGATGCAATGCACTTTCGTCTGAGGTCTGCTGCTGGCAGTACCGCCAGCTCTTGGGTAAAGCGCGCAGACTGGGATACAAGGTTATGTCACATATGGGATTCGTGTGCACCATGGTGGCTGCAAACGCCCAGTTCCTAAGGTACAACCTGTGGCAAGCCTGTCCATCACCACAGTGTTAACCGTTTGTTCCAAGCTTTCGGTCTGTTGCCAAGGAGGGAGCTGGACACCACTGTGGGGCTCTAAGAGTCCTGAATTCTTACCGGGTTGGTGAGGATTCCACATGCACATTTTTTGAGGTTATCCTCATTGATCCATTCCATAAAGCTATCAGAAGAAATCCTGACACCCAGTGGATCACCAGACTGGTCCACAAGCGCAGGGGCACGCGTGGGCTGACATCTGCAGGCCGCAAGAGCCGTGGTCCTGGAAAGGGCCGTAAGTTCCACCACACTATCGGTGGCTCTCACCCTGCAGCTTGGAGAAGGCGCAGTACCCTCCAGCCCCGTTACCACTAATATAGGGAATGTTTGTAAAATTCATGCCTAATAAACAACTTAGGACGGTCGTGTCTGCTTAAAGGTGTTATTTGTCTGTTAAAACTAGTCTCCAGACTGTTTCATGAACGCTTTGTCAAATTGTGGAGTTAGAGTGCAGTAATGTTTGAAGACTGTAAGTGATGGCCTATCTCGTTTCTAGTAAGGTAAACTTTTTTTGTCTTTGCTTTATCTTATCAGGGAGTTCTATGGCAGTGTTTAAAACACGCTGTGTGGTGTAACAGGTATGAAATAAATTCTTTAAAAGAGGAATGCTGAAAATAAATAAATAAATAACCGGCACAGGCGTTTCCCAGACAGTGCCATCCCCACATCTGCTCTTTATTGTTCTGTTTTCCTTCGCTCTTCTCATCCTCCATCCTGCGATGTCGTTCACCTTGTTTCTCATCCTTATTGGTTACCATCCGCCTCCCTCTCCAGAATGCAAGCCCCCGGGGCACAGGCCTGCTGCGTGCCTAGGAGGAGCAGAAAGAGGTGAGCTCCAACTCACTTGGCGTCCCTACTCCTGGGGACTGTCTTTCAGGAGAGGCAGGAGGAGGCTCACTCTCAGATTGAAACTGAATTTGTGAAAAGAGATGAAATGACTCACAAGGTGTGTTTTTGAGGTTGGCTGGTCCTGTGTCTGGGACACGGGAGGCCCAGGTGAGGGGAGGAGCCTGAGGTGTTCAGCCAGCCCCTGGTGTCCTGCGGAGTCACCCACCTTGGCATCTCTGAGCACCCAAGCTTCTGCAACTCGCCTGCTCAGAGCACCTGCCGCTTCCTCCTCTTGGGCCCTTTAGCAGCAGCTTGGAGAGCTGGCACCCTATCCCAGCTTTCCAGAACCAGCGGGGGCCATGGGTGGGGTGGATGGGGGGTGGGGTGCCAGCTCAGCCGCTGTTGGCTCCTCTTCAGAGCAAGGCTTGCTCCCAGCTCTCCTTCCTAGCTAGAGGCAAAGAGCAACTCACACATTCCCACCTCCCTCCCTCTGTTATTCCTCTTCTCTGGAAACCCTTGCCCAACTGTAAGAGAGGACCCATTGTCACACGTAGGGGTCAGCCTTGCAGGCACAGCCCCACGGGCTCCCTGACCCACCACAGGAAGGGCAAGAAGAAAGGCACACAAAAGAGCACTTCCAGAGGGAGGGCCTGGCAGAGCTCCTGGAACCTTCCGAGGGCAGTGGGAAAGAGGAAGAGGTGAGAAGGGCATTTGCCACCCAGGCAGGAGACCAGCTACAAGGCTGTAAGGAGACAAAAGAGGATTCCAGAGCAACTGGGAAGTCCTGAGGCGTCTCCAGTTAGGACTGGCTGAGCCAGGGCAGGGTGACAACCAGTGATTTCCAAGTGAAAGGAAGACCAGAAGCCTTGAGAAGACATAGATGGAGTTGGGCCAGGATTAGGTGTCACAGTGGTCACAGACAGCTGCAAGGAGCGTCCTCACTCAGAAATGGCTGCAGAGTCAACAGGATGGCCTAAAGGCCAGTACGACCCTCGTGCGGTTTCAGCCTTGAAAAGTCAGAGAGCCAAGGAGACACAGGGAATCACCAGCACCCTGCAGCCTGAGCTTGGAAGTCTCGGAAATTCAGACCATCTCCTCTGAGCCTCTCACTGCTCCAGCCCCTTGTCACATGTCATCTGTGACCGGACACTTCTGCCTCTCCCTAGGAGGGCAGGATCTATGCTGCACATACATAGGCTGCGTAGCCCATGCTTTATAGTGCTTTCGTGCTAGTACATGCTCAATAAAATGCACTGAATGATTGGCCCAGTGGCTCAATGGACGGGTTGATCTGAGAACTTTTTGTGGCAGTTTGCTGTGGCTACGGCGGGGCCCCTACTCCAGTGTGCAGAACTGTTCATCAGGAACAAGGTACAGCTTGGCCAAGGTATAGCGGAAAACCATTCTTTCCTAGACTTTCTGACCAGCCCAGCCTATTACAAATTCCTAAAAATCTTTTTTTTTTGAGACAGAGTCTTGCTCTGTTGCCCGGGCTAGAGTGTAGTGGCGTCAGCCCAGGTCACAGCAACCTCAAACTCCTGGGCTCAAGCGATCCTCCTGCCTCAGTCTCCCGAGTAGTTGGGACTACAGGCATGCGCCACCATGCCCAGCTAATTTTTTCTATATATTTTTAGTTGTCCAGTTAATTTCTTTCTATTTTTAGTAGAGACGGGGGTCTCACTCTTGCTCAGGCTGGTCTTGAACTCCTGACCTTGAGCAATCCTCTCGCCTCGAGGCCTCCCAGAGTGCTAGGATTACAGGCGTGAGCCACTGCGCCCAGCCGAATTCCTAAAAATCTTACCATTCATGAAACAATTGTAATCCCTAAGGCTAATTAGGTGGGTTATTTGTAACACTGATTACGAAATTCCATGTCCTCCCTTCCCAGGGGCATGCCAGCCCAGCTCTCACTTGGCTATATCCTCACCTTTTAGCCAAACTCCTCAAGTTTAAGCAGCTGCCATGGCCTTTCCGCCAGGGGGCAGGAGAGAGCCGTGGCCGAGAACACAGTGCTCGGGCAGCGGGAGCCCTGTGCGTCCAGCAAGCAGGCCCTTAAGTCCATCCAAGGAAGAGGAACAGGCCCCGGCTCTTGACCCTGTGATACAGCATCCTGCCCGGTGCCTGGCACATAGCAAGTGCTCGGTCCCTCTGGCCTGTCACTGGTTCTGTCCCCAGAGATGTAGACTGTCCTCTAAGGTAGTTGATCTCAGCGCCAGGACTTGGGGCTGGGGGGCCCCGCACCTGGGCACAGCGGCCACGTGGAGAGCGCCGAGCTCTGAGGGCAGCGAGGCAGGGGCACCTACCGCTCTGTTGATGTGCTTCCTGACCAGGAGGTACAGCAGCGGCAGGGTGACGTACGCCAGCATCTCCCACAGCTTCCCCGTCAGCAGCATCCACAGGACGCGGTCCTCGGCCCCCAGGTCGATCCAGCACCAGCCCACAGACACGTCCGAGGCGTCATAGCCGATCTTCTTTAGAGCGACAGCTGCCACGGTGATGGCCAGTGGAACCCCCCAGCTGAGGAATGACAAGAGGGAGGCACTGAGGTCAGGCCACGGCTCCCAGCAACGCCAGCATGGGCAAAAATGACAAAGAAGGGGGACAGTGCCCCTGGAAAATCTGACGGGCAGCTGTCGCCTGGGTTCCTGGGAGACTGGCCGTAGAATGGTGACGCGGCACGCACCCCAGCTCCTTCCTGCACCCAGAGGGGTCTTGGGCACCGGCGTGGAACAGCAGCCCACATGTCTGTGCTCACGCACACGTGCCAAGAGCAGTCGGTGCTCCTGGTCAGCCCTTGGGTCTGGGGGTGCACACACTGGTGGCTTGGGGTTGCCTGGGCAAGGAATTCCAGGGTCCCATGTTCCCCCAGCGGGATCTAGGAAGTAGATTATGGGCTTTGAGCAGGCACAGCCCCTCAGCTCTGAGGACCCCTCGTTCAGTGGGGAGGGAGCATGACTTGGCAGGGGTCAAAGGGGGCCTCTGCAGCACAGAGCTCAGGCAGGGCCCCTCTAAGGGCAGTGCTGGGCTCAGTTTTCTAAAGCTGTCCCCCACAGCCAGGATTAGGCCCAAGCCCCAGGGCCCCTTCTCCAAGCTCCCCGCACCAGGCTGTTCCTTACAAAGCAGCTTAAATCGGTCAAAGGGATACACAAAAGCTACGTGTGGCTCCTGGAAGAGGCAGCACGGGGGCGCGGTTAAGAGCTTGGACTCTGGTGCAATGGGCTGGGTCCAAGTCCCGGCTCTGCCCTGGCTCGGGCAAGTTATTTAGCTTCAACATGCCAGTGTTCGCTGCATGGTGGGAATGACGACAGTGCCTGCAGGGTGTCATCCTACGGTCGTTAGGGGACCAAACGTGCATGTGTGAGGTGCCCAGGGCCAGGCAGGCGGTGCAATGTTGCTAGTGAGTCATGTCCGACTGTCCCAGGGCTCGGCCTGTGGTGCAGATGGCGGCACTGCATGAGGCCCATGTGCTTTCTGTCCCCAGGAACAGGACACAAGTGCCCCTGTCCTAGGTCAGTCGCCTGGGGAGCAAAGCAGTATGTAAATAGGAATGATACTGTCAGTGTCTCCAGGAAATGGTTTAGTTCAGGAATTGGCTATGTTTTGAGAGCTCTGTGTCAGGAATATGGGTTCTTTCTAAAAGCAAGTCACAAACCCAAGATGAAATCAGAGTTCCACGTGAATCTGATACCAATATGAGACTAGGAGAAGTACCATGCTGCAAGAAGTTTCCCCCAAATGCTGCAGGGCCAGCAGAGGAGGTGGCGTGGGGTGGGGGTAGGAAGGAGAAAGACAGCTCCCCAGGACAGGGAAGCCTTGGCGCGGGATGTTTTCAGAACAGAGGCACCCTGGCCAACCATCCCCTCTTGGCCCGCCCTGCAGGGCTGGGCAGGAGCACTGCGGGCAGAGTCACCGTCGCCCTCAGTGGCAGGAAAGCAGCATGCTCTCTTTGAAGTCCCAAAGCCACAGAAGAGGAAAAAAGACCATAAAAGTTACAGGGTTATGAGAAAGGCACTAAGTTACATCAGGGGTCTATCCATTTTTCTTTTTTTTTGAGACAGGATATCACTCTGTCACTCAGGCTGGAGTGCCATGGTGTCTTCATAGCTCACTGCAGCCTCGAACTCCTGGGCTCAAGCAATCCTCCTGCCTCAGCCTCCCAAGTAGCTGGGACTACAGGCGCGTGCCACTACGCCCGGTTAATTTTTCCATTTTTTGTGGAGACAGGGTCTCACTCTTGCTTAGGCTGATTTCCAACTCCTGGCCTCAAGCAATCCTCCAGCCTTGGCCTGGACTGCTAGGATTACAGGCCTGAGCCACCGCGCTGGGCCTGGAGTCTGTCCATTTTAAATGCTTGTTCTATGCAAAGCTATTTATCTGGTAAGTTAATACGTATTAATGTCAAACCGTTTTGCTGTAAGAAAAGGGCTGTCATTTTAAAACTCATGACGTCCCAGGATTTCAGGACGACACAAGTCCAGCTCTGAGCTCCATGAGGCCCAGGCTGAGTCGGCTCAGTGTTCTAATCTCCAGCACCAGGAACGGTGCCCGGCACAGGGAGGGACAAAGGAAGGGCTTGCTGAATGAATGAATGAATGAATGAACGGATGGATGAAGTTGGAGCCAAGTAACTGAGACAGCATTCCCCAGGCCACTCCTTAAATACTCGCTGCCAGGACATTACTGAACAGGAGGTGATAGGATTTCGAAGCGCTAAACGCCAATCCTAAGGTTCTAATGTGCTGTTCCTCAGCACCTCATCGTTTGCAGGAATCCTGGATGCAGAAAATCACCGTGTGTGGGAACAGTCAGCCTGGAGGAGGCTGGACTCGAGCCGGGTCTCGCCCAAGCAGAGGAGTCCCCTCCCCTCCGGACGGACTGGCAGGGGGCCGCAGGGGGCCGCAGGGGGAAAGGGGCCGGCTCAGACGAGCGCGCAGTCCTCCCTCGGGCGTCCCCCACATCCTGGCGGCCCTCGCAGGAAGCCAGGAGACCGCATGGTGACAGACCCACACTCTGTAACTTCAGGCTTGTAGTACTAAAGCTGCAAAGTGATAGATCTCTTCTGTATTACTGGGGAATTCCTAGAGCTCGGTTTGTGCTAGGAAATGGCCAGAGAGAAGGTCCAACAGGCAGAGGGTTTACAAAGGGGTTTGAATGTGGGCTTGACCAATGACATAGCTGTTTGAACTTGAGCACAGGGAGTAGCAGCTATGTTGGGACCAGAAGCTGTTGGGGAGGTATTTAAGTGGGAGGTGGAAAGAGCCAATAAATATTTAATATCAGGGAGCCAGTGGGAATGGAGCAGGAGGAATGGTCTAAAAATCCCACAAAGCAGGCTGGACAGGACTCGTTACCTATGGATGCGGACAGCGGTGTCCTGGTAACTTCACACCTGGCTCTCCAGAAAAATGCAGATATTCGCGTGTGTATGTACGCATGTATATAAGCACATGTAAATTTATTACAAGTTTCACTGATACAGGGGATGTGAAGCACACAATTTACAAATAATAATAAAATACACGACACTCCTTATTGCCAACTCCACACAGCCAATTGGTTCTCACGAATGCTGCTGTTAATTTCGGCCACACCCTGGATTTTGCCAACCTAGGGATGCGATCGGCAAATGAGAGCAGTTCTGGGACGTGAAGCTGACTGATGCTTTCATTTCCCTGAACGAGTAAGATGAAAGTGAAAAGAGGAAGACACAGAGAGCAAGACTTATGTCAGAATGCCACTGGCTGGTGACATGAGAACTTTGTTGCTGAATCAGGTCAGAGTTTTCCTACACCAGGAGAGCATTTTCTTCCTGCTCCGTGAGGTTGCCTCCTCTCATCTCCTCCCCCTCCTCCCCCTGCCTGCCACGACATAGTTGCCATCTCTGCTTAAGCTCAGAGATAAATAACGCTTTTAAGTTTAATCTGTACTGTTAACATTCTCTCCATCACCTTTTTAAAGTCTCGATCAGGGCTCCAGCAAACTATGGCCCTCAAGGCCAAATCCAGCCTGTGATCTGTTTTTTATTTTTAAATTTTTTTTATTTTTTTGAGACAGAGTCTCACTCTGTTGCCCAGGCTAGAGTGCCATGGCTTCGGCCTAGCTCACAGCAACCTCAAATTCCTAGGCTCAAGTGATCCTTCTGCCTCAGCCTTCCAAGTAGCTAGGACAACAGGCACTAATTTTTCTATTAATAGAGTGGGGTCTCACTCTTGCTCAGGCTGGTCTCCAACTCCTGAGCTCAAGCCATCCTCCCACCTTGGCCTCCCAGAGTGCTAGGATTATAGGCATGAAACACCGCGTCTGGCCCCATGACCTGCTTTTTAAAATAAAGATTTATTTCAAGACAGTCATAGCCATTCATTTACAAACTGTCTGTGGCTGCTTTCTGGCAGAGTTGAGCCGTTATAACAGACTGCAGAGCTGAAAATACTTACTATTTGGTTCTTTACAGAAGTTTGCTGACCTCTGCTCTACAAAACCAACAAAGCAATAAATCAAGTCCGGATTTGTAGCATCTGCCAGTTTCCGTGGTGTCAATACTCCCACCGTGGCCAGTTTGAAGCCACTGACACGTGCAGTTGGGAGCAGATGCGCAGTGGCACCATCACACAGTATTTCCACTGCACAGATGTGACAGATGCAAATAACCTCAAGCGTGCAGATAAAATAATTAGGACAGGATAAGCTTCAAGTATTTATTACTTTTGCTTTTAATACAACTTAACCTTTAATAATGGTTGTATCTAACAGCTCACAAAATTCCCTAAAATGTAACAATCGGGTCTCTCAAGATGGCTCCAGGACACCCCTGCACGGAGGATGGAAGGTAGGGAGCTGAAGGGGCTGATGGAAGTCGGTCAAGCTGAAGGTTCTTGACCGACTTGACCGACAGGCTGAGGAGGAAGTCGGCGCTTTCAGAAACCCCAGAAGGGCAGGCTACGTCATTCTCTGGCTAGGAGGCCCCCTGAGCTGCAGGTAGTCTAAGTCTAATAGCTGCCCCACAAACAAATGTGGCTTAATTCCTGCTTTATAGACATGTATATTTCCAATTCTGACATGCACCACCTCACAGTTTTTCCACCTTCAAAAAAAAAAAAAAAAGCCACCAGCCAAAAAAATAAAGTCAGAACAAGTAAGGTAATAAGGTGCGGCTTAGTAACAGCACCTGCAACAGAGACCAAGGGATTGAGTTGATTACAACCTCAGAACTCACGTGCTCCGAGGGGTTGCCCTGACGGCAGGCACGGTGGTTCAGAGCAGCCGATGCGAGGTCCTGTCTGCCTCTGTGTGGACGCCTGCAGCCCACGTTCTAAGTCTGAGCCTGACAAGCTGGCACCAGAGCCGGGTCACCTGGGGAGCATGCGAAGAGATGCTGGGCTTGAGCTATCCTCAGATGTTTAAACAGTCCTGAAGAGGACCTGCTAGTGGAGAAGGGGCTAGATGGCCGGAGGAAAGGGAGATGAGTCCCACTCAGTCCTAAAACAGGGCTGAACGGGCAGCTTCCACCGAGGGAGGCT